ATCTTGGGTGAAGGGTCAGACAGTACACAATACAGGGGAAGAGTATACCAAGTAAACAGTATATCATGTGCAATGACTGGGATAAAGAAGAATGCAGCAGTTTTGGGGAGCTGCAGAAAATTCATTTTGGCTAATTTATAGAGCACAAGGAGAAATCAGAAATAAGCTGGAGAAGTAAACTGGGGTAGATAATAAAAGATCTGATAAACTACACAGTTTATCTACTTCATCTTGCTGCAGTGAAAAATATTAAGAAGCAAATGACATAATTGGATATGCACTTTTGAAAAATATCTCTTTTGACTATTGTGAGAAATGGGATTTCATATGGTCAAGACTGAAGGTAGGTAGAATAGGTGGAAATCAATTGCAATAATCCAGGAAAAAATGGTGATGGACTGGACTAAGATAATGTCAGTGGAGTTGGAGAGAGATGGATAGATTTGATAGATATTTAAGAGATTTAACTAGACAGGACTTGAGGTGAGAAAAGTAGGGATCAATGTTATTGTTGTTGCTAGGTGCCATAGAATCAATTTCAACTCATAGTGTCCCCATGTGACAGAGTAGAATTACGCCATAGGGTTTTCTAGGCTGTAATCTTTATGGAAGAAGATTGACAGGTCTTTCTTCTACAGAGCTGCTGCGTGGGTTCAAGCCACCAACCTTTTGGTTAACCACTCAGATTTCTGGCTTGGGCAAGTAAGAGTATGGTAATGATATTTATTGAGTCAAGAATATCCAGAGGAGAAGTAGATTGGTAGGGGAAGTGGATCAGTTTAAATGTGGACCTAATAAGTTTGAAGGTTCTGTTCTGTACATTCATGAAGATGGCACAGGACTGGGTAATGTTTCATTACATACAGTTGCCATGAGTCAGCTCTGACTCAATGACAACTAACAACAATAGCATTCTGTCCAAAATTCAGGAGGGACATTTCTGTCCTTAAGACATTTTCAGATAATAAACCAAAAACCAAACCCATTGCTGTCCAGTTGACCTGTCCAGTGACCCTATAGGACAGGGCAGAACTGCCACATACGGTTTTCAAGGAGCACTTGGTGGATTTGAACTGCCGAGCTTTTGGTTAGCAGTCGAACGCTTAACCACCGCGCCACCAGGGTTCCTTATGGGGAAGATTGCCACATATTTCTCCCATACTGCAGCTAGTGGGTTCGAATCACTGACCTTTCTGTTAGCGGCCAAGCACTTTAAACATTGTTCCACTAGGGTTCCTTTCAGATGTCAAGGGATATATTAACCGATAAGAGATATAGGACAGTATTTGAGGTAGTATATAGTTGACTGCAGAAAGTGACAATTTAAACAAGAGATGGAAAAAGGAGTATAGAGAAGGAAGTGCTTCTCCCTGAGAGATAAGAGTGGGAGAATCTGAGGTTCATCATGGAGGGTACTAAGTTAGATCTTGCATGCAAAGATTAGAGAGATAGGAATTGTAGCGGGGGAAGCCCTGGTGACGTAGTGGTTAAGAGCTACGGCTGCTAACCAAAAGGTCAGCAGTTTGAATCCATCAGTCACTCCTTGGAAACTCTTTGGGGCAGTTCTACTCTGCCCTATAGGGTCACTATGAGTTGGAATCAACTCAAGGGTGATGGTTTTTTTTTTTTTTTTTTAAAGGCCACAGTACTCTCTATAAGGCAGAGTTGTAGAATGGTAAGAAGCTGGGTTGCTAGGGCCAGTTTGAATGGGTATAATAAAATAGGAAGTTTGTGGGCTAGGTGAGCTGGTCAGAACTCTTCGATTCCAAGGGAAAAATAAAATTACACGTATTAACTACATTGATTTTTTTATTGCAAGGTCAGCTATTTTTTATTGCAATAGTCAGCTATTACTACAATAATGCTACATAACAAGCAACCACAAAATCTCAATAGCATATAACAATAAGCTTTGTTTCTTGCTCATACATCTGCTAGTGGGCTGGAGTGGCTCTGCTTCAGCCTGTAGGTTGCCTTCAGGGCTATCCTTGTAAGGTTATTTTTGTTCTGTTTTCTTTTTCTTGGATCAGCAGCTTCCCAGGGCATATTTTT